TAGATGGGGGGTATTTACACACCACCACTTTACCGCTGGCTCTATGTATATCCGCATCCGGCAGTGCTTATGATGCCGTGTATGATGAACTTCGCGCGCACCATCAAGTCGCGCTTTTTTTTTCCAGCGTCTTTCACGTTCATGATCAAAGCGAGGACTAAAATGGACAAAGCCTGCAATGGCGCAAAAATAAAAGCGGCACGACGGCGACCGGAGTCACCTCTGTATATTACGGAGGAAAAGGTCTGGACTCTAAATATGGTCGATTACGTTTGTAGCGCAGTGCGCTGACGCGCCTTTTTGCGTGGAGCGTGTACCGTGTGTCGCGTGCCATCGCCGATCCATTTTTCTTCCGCTTCTCGGCCCCCTCTGATCTAGAGCGACCGATTTACTTGCCCGATTGTGCTCGCGTGGACATAATCGTGTCGCACTATTCTCGTGGTACGTCACTCGATACCACGTAAGCGTGGCTGTAAAGCGCGAGGCTTAACAATTTAAACCACTTCACGTACGATTCCCTTTGTCCGCGCATATTAAATGCTCCTCGGCTAAATATAATCCGTCCAATGCCTTCGGATTTGCATATTAAATGTTATTAAGGGGAATTGAAACGTATTAATCTTTTGTATCAAATTATCGTAAAGGGAACAATCCAGTACAAATGTAAGAAAGTTTGCAATCGATACTAAAAATACAAAATTTCATATAAAACAGTTGTACAAATTTGAGATTAGTTAAATTTTCTTTCAACTTTAAGTGTTAGAATAAATAGTGCGCTATTATCAAGTTGGTAAAAAGATCCGTAAATTTATCTTAAAAATTTTAAGACATTCATGTATGTATAGTTTCTTAGAAATATAATGAAAACGTATTTGTTATTTCAAATGTAGAATTTTCTAAAAATGTAAAACAGATAATTTCTGCAAAGGATTTCTCACATTTTCGAATATCCTTGTTTTTGTGCTAAGAAGCCTGTAGTTATACTTAATATTCGCAGAGAGCGACAAGAGGGTAGTTGTGAGACGCGAGGTCGGCGGTGAGTTCGGATTCCGCATTCATGGCTCGAAGCCCGTGGTGGTTTCCGCGATCGAGCCGGACACGCCCGCGGAGAGTTCCGGTCTCGAGATCGGCGACATCATCATGTCGCTGAACGGCCGAAACGTCATAGACTCCACGCATTCGGAGGTCGTAAGGCTGGCGCACTCCGGCTCGGACGTTCTGGAATTAGAAGTCGTGAGGACCTGCAACGTACTGACGCCGCGTCTTCGCAACGGGGCGAAGGAGAACGCCGACGAGTTACCACTTTGCTCGGGCTACCTGTGGAGAAAATCCACGTCTTCGTGCACGGAGAAGTGGGTCCGACGATGGTTCGCCCTTCGTCGCGACAACTGCCTGTATTGCTACAAGACTGACTCGGTAAGCGAGACTTGTCTAACTACACGCAGAGAATCTGCTCTTAAAATTCATCCTGAAAATCATGCAATCGCGTGACACTACACAATATTTTGAAGGTATTTATGAGAGTTTTTGAAAATTTTACTATTGTATTTTACTAGTAAAATAAAATGTATAGGAAACTTTTACATACATGTATACATTTTGAAAATTTTTTACTAGTAAAAGGTATGGTAAAATTAAAAAACTCATAAAGTTCTTGAAAATGCCGTGTTGTCTCACAATTATGTGATTTTTCTAGTAAAATGTATGGTAAAATTTTAAAAACTCTTATAAAGTTTTTCAAAATGCCATGTTGTCTCACGATTACGTGATTTTTCTAGTAAAATGAATAGTAAAATTTCACAAAACTCTCATAAAGTTCTTCAAAATGCCCTGTTGTCCCACGATTACATGATTTCCTTGGTAAATTTTAAAAGAAAATTCTCTCCGTGTATGATGAAAAAGCATGCACAAGTAAAATGTAGTGTGAGCTTACAGCGTGACAGTGCGTGCACCTGTCTACATAAATTTCTACGAAAATTGTAACAAAAGGAATACTCTCAGATAGATTTGATAAAAAGTAAAAGGATATTTTTAGAAATAAAAGATAGGATTATAATGTAATTTTTTGAAAATTCAAAGCGGAGATCGCTGAGGATCTTTTTCCGCAAGACGAGTGTAAGTTTCTACTTAATTAAAGTGCGTTTTTCGTAACAGGACTCGCAACCGGTGGGAGCGGTGATGCTCCTCAAGTACGACGTGGAGCAGACACCTGAGTTGAAAGTGCACAGTTTCGCCATAAAGAAAAAGGGCGCTCCGACGCTACGACTGGCGGCCGACACCGAAGAAGCGGCAGGTCGATGGATCACGGTTATACGTGAAGCTGTCGAAAGGAACGATCAGGTACGCAAAGTGGATATGTGCTGTTTAATTTCCTTTTCCGACTACGTGAAAATAGATATCACATTAACCCTCTGGTCGCATGGTGGTTTTAAAATTATTTCCAAAATAAGGTTTTTTCTTACATAATAATGAAGCATTTTAGTCGACATTAACCAGCGAATGTTTTAATATACAGAAAATTTATTGCGAAAAATATTATCTCAGCCAGGGTTTGAACCTGGACTTCTCTACTCTCTAGGCGGGCGTCTCACCAATTCGACCACTGAGGCATGTTTTCTTATATTTTGCACGAGTGTCCGTAAACTTAATAAAGCAGAGAAAATACTTAAATTCGTGACGTAAAAGATATTATTGATGTTTTATATTGCAGTCTTGAAGAACCCCGCGCGAAAAATAGTAACTAAAGGGATAAATATATATTGTTGTGAAGTGTCAGCGAGCATACACGCGCGGGATGTTATTTGCACACTTTTAAAAAGACTTTCTCACTTAAGTTTTTCATTTTCTCTCTTTATTCTTTTTCATTTCCTTAGCCAAAGCCTTTTTGAAATGACCACTCAATGTCTCCTTCAGATTGACACCTGGCTGGACTCTTCGTTAAGAATGAGAGAGATGGCTGCGTGCGCTATTCATAGGCCAGATTGTTTCGGGTATTTGAACAAACAACAGGAACACGCGCGGAAAACGTCCTCGCCCACCGGCTGGTCCAGGCGATATTGCGTGTTGAAGGACGCCGCGCTATATTTCTACGATGACGCCAATGCCGAGAAAGCGTTTGGCGTGGCGTGTCTGCATGGTTTCAGGGTACACAGCAGCGCTCCGACTTCCGGCGGCAGGAAGCACGCTTTCGAGTTGCTACCGCCGGATCCCACGCAGAGAAGCTATATCTTCGCTAGCGAATCAGAAATGGATAAGAAACGGTAATATGCAAGCCTTGATCATTTCCGTCATGTTTGACGATACATCTACTATTTCGTTGCACGCAAACGTAATATCATTAGGCTCGTTTTCTGTTCCTACACTAGTGAACTAGTGCAATAAATTTGAGTAAGACAAGCATACTTTTTCTCATTCTAGCTTACTGCACTAGTTCATCAGTGCAGGAACAGAAAACAGATCTTTTCTATCTCGTAAAATCATAAATACAAATTTTTTACATTTAAATCTCCCTTACTACCATAGTATAACTAGTACGTTCACTCTGTCATTTGTTTCATCCGACATTGTTTTGGTCAGACCAATGGGAGAAAAGTTGTATGTATGCCCTGATGGAAAAATTTTGCTGGAAACGTAATGAAATTTGCTGAAATTTGGTTGAAAATCTCTTGCAATTGACCCAATTTCATTATCATTTCAGCAATTTTTCACTAAAAAATTTATTTTCAGTGAAATTCTGCAAATTTCATAATATACAACATTAAAACATTTTTTTTCACTAATTTTTAGTAACATTAATTAACTTTCATCTAATTTCACAGTATTTCATTGAATTTCATAACGAAACTTGTGATTTATTTTGAAATGGTTTCAACAAGTTTCCAATAACTTTCATTTCACTTTTCATCAATTTCATTACATTTTCAGCAAAATTTTTCCATCAGGATGGTAATGTGAAATTAGCGTGCGGTAGCTTTTATGAGCACGTGCGCACACACACGCCGCTGGATCCTGACCACATACTTTTATATACTACTAGACTGCTACCTTCGAGCTGAAAAGTGAGACAAAAGTTCCGCCATGTCTTGTTAGATAAATAAAGTGGTGTATCCCATACAGCACCGAAGCTTTCAGAAACATTTCAGAAACATTGCAACATTGCAACAATGTTTTCTGAAATGCTTCTGAAAGCTTTGGTGCTGTATGGGATGTGTGCATCGGTCTGTTCATTTCGTGAACCGGTCTTTTACCATGAGAGATGAATTATCGACCGAAACTGTAGCC